GTTATTGTATTGCTACCATACACTGTGAAGATGCTGTTGTTTCTTTTTGATAGTGGGATCCGTGGAGGGGTGGGTGTTATTGTATTGCTACCATACACTGTGGAAATTGACGGCTCATGTCATTACACACATCGCATACACGGTGGGGAACGGCTCATGTGGGAATTGACGGCTCATGTGGGAATTGACGGCTTATGTGAGGATATGTTGGCGTTGCGGTAGCGGTACGGGGGAATGCTGGCACCCTCATTTGAAACAAGGGGGCATGCCAGCGTTCTCATTTTCAATAAGGGGGGATGTTTTTTTTTCTTTTTTCATGTGAGGCAAAGAGGGTCTTTTGCAGGGTTGGTGTAGTGTGAATGTGTGTGTATGAAGTGCTGTCGGGGAATGGGTGTGGGAGTGTGTGGGTCAGGTGTTTCTATAGTGAATTGGTGGAGGTTGTTGTGTAGCGGTGTATGAGAAGAGAGCTTAATTGATGTAGCCCTGGCTCATTTGAGCAGGGGGGTATTTTGAGCGTTTGCTCATTTGAGCAGTGGATTATTTTGTGCAATCTTGCTCATTTGAGCAGCAGGATATTTTGACGTATTTACTCATTTGAGCATCTGCTCATTTGAGCGTTTGCTCATTTGAGAAGGCACTCATTTGAGCATCTGCTCATTTGAGCATCTGCTCATTTGAGCAGGCACTCATTTGAGCGTTTGCTCATTTGAGCACGCACTCATTTGAGCAGCCACTCATTTGAGCAGCCACTCATTTGAGCAGCCACTCATTTGAGCGTTTGCTCATTTGAGCAGGCACTCATTTGAGCAGCCACTCATTTGAGCAGCCACTCATTTGAGCAGCCACTCATTTGAGCAGCCACTCATTTGAGCAGCCACTCATTTGAGCATCTGCTCATTTGAGCATTTGATTACTTTATGCAATTTTGCTCATTTGAGCATCTGCTCATTTGAGCATCTGCTCATTTGAGCAGGCACTCATTTGAGCATCCACTCATTTGAGCAGGTACTCATTTTTGCATTTGCTCATTTGAGCAGCCACTCATTTGAGCATCTGCTCATTTGAGCAGGCACTCATTTGAGCAGGCACTCATTTGAGCATTTGCTCATTTGAGCAGCCACTCATTTGAGCAGCCACTCATTTGAGCAGCCACTCCTTTGAGCGGGCACTCATTTGAGCAGCCACTCATTTGAGCAGCCACTCATTTGAGCAGCCACTCATTTGAGCATCTGCTCATTTGAGCAGCCACTCATTTGAGCAGCCACTCATTTGAGCCACTCATTTGAGCAGCTGCTTATTTCTTGCAATTTTGCATCCTTGGGCAAGGTGCACGTTCCGCGGGAAATTCGAAACGCAGTTCAAATTCCTGACGAAGAAGGATGACGAGCATCGAAGACGCAAGGATTGGGACTCGGGTTGTGTTGTCCGTCGAGGCACGCAGCAAGTGCCCGCACGAACTGCTTCCCATCCCTGGCTACGTCAAGTGGGTTGAAGGCACGGGGTGGGTGAAGATAGAGGTCAGGCGCGGCGACAAGGTAGTTGCAAGGTGTGTGGACGGCGGACATCGTACTACTGTAAGTGCAATGCCAACATTCATCTCTGCAGGCAACATATCGGCGATCACATATACCAGGAGCTGGGAATCCCGACGCAACCCTTCGCACCAACAGCGCCTGCATCTCCGGACGTAGTAGCCGACAACAACAGCGATGGTGGAGGAGATGGCGCACAGGAAGCAGGCGAGGAAGCTGCGAATGATGGCGACGATGGTGCTGCGGATGACGAAGAAGAAGAGAACCAGGAGGGCAGCCAGAGGGAGCTGCTGTGATGCTGAGTGTGTGCCTGTTCTTGCCATGTGTTGCCATGTCATTTCCACTCGTTTTCCTTCCCTCTATCCCTTGTGGCTGCCTGTCATGCTTCACTTGATCTTGTGTGTATTCAAGAGGAACGAGTAAACACACCACCCAATATGCGCACGCCATGGGAGTTGACAGAGGGGAACAAGCAGGGAGCGAGAGTTCTATGGAGTTAAGCACAAGGACAAAAACTGCCAAAAATTTGGCCGAACTGCCATCGTTGCTGACAGTGTAGACACAAGGGAAAACCAGGCAGAGACACAGGCAAAACAGGCGCAAAAAATCGCATCAGAAAAAAAAACCAACTCAGTGGTGGAACCGAAGCAGGTGATGGAGGTGATGGAGGTGATGGAGGTGATGGTGGTGATGGTGGTGATGGTGGTGGTGGTGGTGATGGTGGTGGTGGTGATGGTGGGGGTGGTGGTGATGGTGGTGGTGGGGAGTATCACACGTCAAACTCGTACGCACGGTAAAATGATACCGTGTCTGGTGGGTTGGCATGTCTCAGACATGGCGGGATGTGTTCGCATCCAAGCAGAGGGCCGGGGCAGCCGATGCGGGACGAGTTGTAGTGGCCTGGTTCCAGCACGTGGTGTGCGGGGTTGATGCATGGCAGCTCAAACTGCTTGTTAGTGCGAGGGCAAACAAAGATGAGGGGGTTGTCGACACCGCGGTGGCAGAGGTGAGAGGCGTGGTAGTTGGGGCGACGATCAACGCTGCGCAGCTCGCGCTCGTAGAGGCCTCGGTTGATGTGTGAGGTTCGGTGCAGGCGACGGAACTGGCACTGGCCAGACCCCATTCCACGCATGGGATGGCCATCGGGGGTGCGCCTGACGATGTGGGTGATGCTGTAGAGGTAGCGGCCTGCACTTGTGAAGAAGTCCTCGCGAATTTGCGCACACAGTCCAAGGTTCAGGATCAGCGTGCGCTGCCAGCCCTCGACGATGTTGAAGGAGTCCTCTGGAACGGTCCGCAGCGGGGTCCATGTTCCGGCCCCGTGGCTGGAGAGCTCGCCCACCTCGTGACGGTCCGCCACGGGGTCGATGTGAGGGCGGGCATCATCAGGAAGACGGTACTTGTGCATCATGGCGGCAATGTCGGGGACAGGGCCGATGAACGGCGCTGGGATGATGGTGGAGACCGCTGCAACAAGCCGGTGTGGCTCAGGGACAGGCGGCGGCTGGGCGTGCTGTGGCGGCTGTGGCGGCTGTGGTGGCTGTGCTGGCTGTGCTGGCTGTGGTGGCTGCAGTAGCTGCAGCTGCTGGAAGATGTTTTCCTGGACGTCCATTGTGCAGAGCGTGTGGCTGTGTGCCGCTAGAAGTACTTGCGGGTGCTTGTGGGTGTGCTGGATGTCGATATGAACGGGAAAATGGGGTGTAGGAGCGTTTAATTTGGACTACAGCAGAGGTCTGGGGCCAAGAAAGGCATGTGGGGGCGATTAGAGAACATTGCAGGTCGACCAAGTAGCAGAAATTCACACAGGGGCATGCTGTGGAGGCATGCAGGGTGCATAGCGGGCAGGAAGAGGGCGTGCAGGTGCTTGCAAGCATGTAAGAAGCGACAACAGGCATGCAGGGAGGGCAAAACAGATGGTCCTTCCGAATGGAGCGATGCCCGGAGTTTACATAGGATCACGTCCTACAGCTAGGTCCTGCGACCTGCCAGTCAATATGACAAGCAGGTGGCACGCGCCATGAGGCAGTGAGCAGGCAAACAGTAAGGAACAAGCGCACAAGAAGCAGAGCAGCAGTGAAGCAGCCGCCCACCTTTTGGCGCGATCACCTGCACGTGGTCGGGACACTGACGTTCGGTGCCTCGATTTTTCAGGGCCGAAAAATTATCATTTCTGGAGCAACGACGACGACGATGGTGAGTTGTGATCGTGATGGAGATGGTGGTGGTGGTGATGGCTTGTTGTGGATGATGGTGATGGTGGTGGTGGTGGTTGTGGATGGCGGTGGTTGTTTGTGGTGGTGATGGTGGTGGGTTGTGATGTGCGTCTGTTGTTGCCGTTGTTGTGTCGTCCACACTATCACCACCCACCTTCACACTCACTCTTATCAACCCACCCCGCCGATCACACACAGGTCTGTGACCTTGTCAGCAGCAATGCCCACAGGAGCATAAACGCATGAATGCACATACACACATCCTTGCATCCGTCTTCCCTTATCCATGTTCATTACTTTCTCGCCGCCTGTGACTATAAGGCTTGTTTGTCTGCTGCCACTTGTCTCTCCCGCACTCGTTCATACACAACCACGCACAGAAGCAGACTGTTGCGTCCCTTCGTCTTCCCTTGTCCCTGTTCATTACTTTCTCGACGCCTGTGACTATAAGACTTGTTTGTCTGCTGCCACTTGTCTCTCCCGCCACAATCACAACACAAAACACACACACACACATCTGTGCATATGCCGCTTTGTGCCTTTGTCTCACCCTTCACTCGCTCGCTTCCTCCTCTCTTCCCTTTGCCTTTCCACATTCCATGTGTTGCATTGTTGCTTTGCACTTGTCGCCACATGCTTCGTTCACCCTTGTCTCTTCCTCTCTTCCATCCACTCACCACCAAACAGCACCCCTCCGCACAACATCACGCATCCTTCACAGAACACAGGAACACATACAACCCACCGTGTGCGATCGTGCATCCCTTCGTCCTTTTCTTTCACCACCTTGTTATCACAAGCCGTGTTTGTCTATTTCACCTGCGCTCCACCACCCCTCCTGTCTTGTTTCAATTCTTGTCACCACCACTGTTGTTGTTTCCATGCGCTCGCATGCCTTCCGTTGTCTCTATTCACTACTTTGTGCCGCCACTTCTTTCCCTACCTTCCACCTTCCCTTTGCTTTCCTTATCTTTCCTGCCTCGTCCATGTTTCATGCTGCATGTGTTCCAGCACATAATAAACCCATCAACCTTTTTCACCATCAGCCCAGTTCACATCCACCACCACCAGCAGCCAACAACAACAGCAACAGCAGTGTGCATGCTGTGGCAAGAGAGAACAGAGAGAGAGAAAGGGAAAGGGAAAGGGAGGAAGGCAGAAGGACACAAGGAGAGAGACGTGCACACTGTCAACAACAACAACAACAACACAACACACATACACAATGCAACATCACCCGCTCACGCTCCCCTCCTTCTCCAACGAGGTGCGTGGTCTATGGCAGCCCCACGTCTTGCTTGCTTGTCCTGTGTCCATTCTTGCTCGTGTGCTTGCTTGGTTGTGTGTGCTTTGCCATGTGTTCCAACACACAGCCTGCACAAGCATCCATGAGTCCATGTGTGTGTGTGTGCATGTGCGTGTGAGGGGATGACGAAGAGGGAAGGGAGCAGAAGAAGAAGCAGGGGAGAGATGGGGAGGTGCGTGAGCACAGACGATGGTGATGGGAGCACACGACGTGGCTGTGGTGAACAGACACACACACACACACACAAGCACAGAGAAGCAGCAACGCACAACAAACACAACAGACACGAACAAGGGGAAACAACAGCAGCAGTGCTGCAACACACACACACACACACGCACCAAGGGAAGGACATCAGCCAGCCAGCATCATTCAACACGCCTTGCATCCGCTAATCCATCCATGCAGCAGCGGTGGTGGTGGCAGCAGAGAGAGAAAAAGAAGAGTGCCCTGCCTTGCCTGCCTGGCCTGTGTGGGCATGTGTGTCTGCACACCCACTCACTGTCTGTCTGTCTGTGCGTGTCACCATCCATACACACACAGGTGTGTAAGACAGAGGGAAGCAAGCAACCACCACACACACACACAGTGTGAATCACAAGCAGACACAGCATGAACGACATGCACACAGTCACAGTCATGTACACATGCAAGTGCAACGCACCGTGAGGTGGCATCAGACTGCCTGCCAGCGTGTGCGTCTGTGTGTGTGTGAGTCGATGCAACCCATTATCCTTCTCTGTATGCGTGTGAGCCAAATGCATCCACAGCAGCAGGGAGTGCGTGTGAGATCACAACACCCAACGCAGCCACGTCCCACCTCTCCCTGCTTCACACACAACCCACACGCACCAACACAGCGGTCAATCCAATCGACAGAACTCCCCCAAACTCACGGTGCCAGCGTGCCATGGACCTGTGCAGCACATATGTCAGCCTCACTGACCGTGGGCAACACCTTGCATGCCTTTGGCCCTGCACACATCCATGGTGTGCGCGGTGCTGTGCGTGTTCTCTGCTGGCACCTATGCACCATCACACCATCACCCACCACACCCCACACAGTCCACGGAACCAAACGAGACCACCCACAACAGAACCGCCAGTGAGTGCCCGTAACAACGCGCACCCTCTCCCTTCTCTCCACCAACCTTGCGCCAGCCACGCACACGAACAACGCAAGCCTCAAACACACACACGCACACACGCACCTTGGTTCGCGTTCGCCTGCTGCTTGTTGTTTGCGTTGTCAGGTGTCGTGATGGTGCTTGGGACGGTAATTTGTGGAAGGTGCGACAAATAATCGCCCACCGCTGCGTTTGTGCGGCAACTGCTGCTTGCTTTCTGCGTTTGCTTATGGAAGGGCGGACTTGCTTGCTTTGCTGGTTGGTTGGTTGGTTGGTTTCAATGAGACAAGAAGAAGGAGAAGGAGAAGAAGGGGGAACAGCACTGTGTGTGTGAATGCAACGCAGGCTCACAGGCCTTGCAGGCTGAGGAGAAGAAGGGGAGAAGAAAGGGGGATGGAAAAGAAGAAGAAACAAACACACACACACACCCTCCCTCTCCTCTCTTCTCTCTTCTTCGCTTCCTCCTCCTTCTCACAATCACAACAGACAACCAACAGCCACACAAAGGGCTGGAAGAGAAAACAAACAAGGCAGCAGCCATCCAGCCAGATCGCCATGGAAGAAAGAGGCGAGGCGAGGCGATGGAGAGGGGAAGGAGAACACCGTCCATCAACACACACGCACACACACATCCGTTGGGAGCCCCACGTCTTCTGTCCTTGCTTCCCTCCTCCTTCCTCTTCCTTGGCCTGGGATGAGTTGGGTTGGTTGAGGTGGCACAGCTCGCCATGGCATGGCACGCGTGGATGTGGGCATGGGTGTTGGATGTGGATGGGTTCCTCTGTGTGTGTGTGTAAAGAGAGTTGGAGGGAAACAGTGGAAGGGGTGGCAGCAGCAGGAGAGGAAGAAGCAAGGGGAGGGCGGTGGATGTGAGCATGCCATGCATGAGTGGACAATAACAACACATGGGGTGCAATGATGATGACGTGGTTGGTTGTGCGTAGTTGTGATGGCACAAGCACACAAAGGTCAACCACACACACCTCGTCGTCGTCGATCAACGCATCTGCCTGGCACACGCGCACGCACACCTGCAGTCACACACACACACACAGTCACACATGGCATTGCAGAATGAGACGGTGCACCATGCACACGCAACCACCACAACCACCACAACCACCGCAACGACAACAGCAACATCTCTCCCTCATCTCCATCCCCCCAAATGCACGGTCACATGACCAGGTGCACAGCCGTGGTGGTGATGATGGCCATGGTGAACGCCTTCCTCCCACTTCCCCTCAACCCCCTTCCACCAAACACACAGCATTGCGTGCCTCACCTCGTGCATCGTGTTGCTGTCGGCGTGGTTGATGGCGACGCACACGCACACGTGCACACAAGCACACATCGCTGTGTGTGTCCCCAGTTGAGATGAGCAACGGAGGGAGGGAGAGAAATGGGCGACACGACACGACGGCCAGTCAACCCCAGCCAATCCAATCCAGCATCACCGCCGTGTGTTGCCTGCTGCAGTCATCATCACAATCACACAATCACAGGTGCAAGCAAAAGGAATGAGCCACTGATATATGTGTCATTGTCATGTGATATTACCACCAGACGATTTCACGTGCATGTGTAAGCGCACCCCCATCCCCCAACCAACATCATCGCCCTTTTATCACTTCCCTCTCCCTCTCCCTCCTTTCGCTTCGCACTCCCACGTTGCACCACCATCACCGTGTTACTTCCCCCCTGCTTCCCACCACTCCATACAACCCAGCCCACCAACTAACCAACCAACCGCCAACGATCATCCTCACATGTGCTTGATGCAGCCAGGCAGGCAGCCGATGTGCTACAGCGAAAGCCAGAAAATGGAAGCGCAACCACATGCCACGGCCACCATCGTCACCGCTGATGGAGCAGAAAGAGGAGATGAAGGGGGAAGAGTGGTGGGCACGGGCCGTGTCCTTGCTTGTCGTCATCGGTGCAGCCCCAAACACGGTGCACAGCGCGCATGCACACGCACGGCCATCATCACAGCAGCAGCCACCAGCAGCAGCGAGCTTGCCCTGCGTGCGTGCCTGTGAGGCAAGAAGAAACCAACCAGAGACAAGCAACGATCGGTGGTGGTGAGGACAGGAAAGGAGGGACACAAAGGACCACGCATGGGAATATGCAGCATGTTGTGGGCGGGTGCATCACCTACACACGAGAACAACGAAGCAAGCACCCAACAATCAAGCAAGCAAGCACACCACACCACATCCACCACTGCTGCAATACCTGCTGTTGGCTGTTGTCTCGATCACGCCTCAACAGCTCCACATCACATGGGGAAGGCTGACGATGATGATGATGATGATGACACAGGGCAAAGGCGATTGGTTGGGAAAAGAAGGAAGGGATTCGGTTGGGGAAACCCCACACACGCCCGCCTGCAGTCACGCACACACACACACACATTTGAGTTGTGAGATTGATTCATGTGAGACACACGTCAGTGCAACCACCCCACAGCCAATGACTGCTCTGGTGTGTTGGCACACGTGCATGTGTACATGCGTGTACGTGCGTGTGTGCGTGCGTGTACGTGCGTGTGAATGTGTACTACCACCCCATCACCGCACACGCACACAGCGGCAGCGTCTCACCTTGCGCCTTCTTTTCTCGCACAGTTGTGTGTGTGCGTGTATCGCCCTGGTCGTGTCATGGGGGCCCGGGAAGAGATCGGCCACCGTCCTGTGCAAATCACACACACGTACACATGCGCAAGCACAAACAATCAAAATCAGCAAGAAGAACACCACGCAGCGAGCCTGCATGGCAGAAACAAACCACATCCACCTCTTTTGCCACATTCACATCACCCATATCACCACCTGTGCATGCACATGTCACAGACAACACACCACAACCAGCACAAGCAGCACAACTGCACATGCGCGTGCGTGCGCCGTCCACATCCTCCACAAACCACTCACCACCACCAGCAGCGTCGTCATGCGAGGCAACGGCACATAGACGCACATCACACCCTGTGTGTGTGCGCGTGGAGAAGGAGGTGAGTTGGCACAGAATCAGGCTGTCAACGACAACAAACCCCATTGCCACCACCAACAGACCCAACGACATCCAACCAACCCTTCACAAACACACACATACGACATGCTGATGTTCACACCCAGCACACCACACACCACCACCACCACCATTCATCTCACCTCCACGTCCATGGCCGCAGCCGCTGCTGTTGGTGACCCCAAGGATGACGATGACGAGGAGAAGATGGAGATGGACGAGAGACGGAGGGCCAGTTCATCCACAATGCAGCCACACATCAGCAGCTGCTGTTGCTGTTGCTGGTGCTGGTGGAAACGGTGAAAACAAACGGCCCCTTGCCACGCCGTGTCCTTTGCTCGCTCGCTCGGCTGCTTGCTTGGTCGGTTGGATGAAGACGGATTCGTGGTCCTGTGTCCAAATCAATCGAAAAAGGGGGAAGAAGAAGAAGAAAAGACACATGAGTGGACAGAACAGACAAGGAAAGAGGGAGGTAAAGAAGGCAACACAACGTGTCCAACACACACACACATCTCAGTCGCCCCTCTCACCTTCATCACTCGTCATCGTCATCGTCGTTGGTTCCACCGCTTCATGCGCCTCCTCAACGCTGTGAATTGTGTGTGCACAGACACAAGATGGGAGAGAATGCAGGGGTTAGGTTGATAGCGAAGCATCATCAACCACACGCCATCCCCATCCAACCATCCGCATTGACACACATCCACACGCACACACGTTGTCCCCACTCACCACCACTATGCACACACACACACACATGCTCACCTCTTTTATCAGAGCGACTGACATGTGCATTGTCTGCCTCACGCCAGATTGTGGCTGGTGTCGGCCGGAGTGTGATGGCGGTTGTGCCGTCGATGGTCGTGGTGATGGCGGTGGTGACAGCTGAGCTGAGGTGGAAGAACGAAAAAGGACAGGAAAATGGGGAAGGTGATGATGATGATGTGTCGTTCATGGCGGTTGCTTCCCCCTCCTCTGATGTGGCCCTGGTGCCCATGCAACCATCACACAACGACAAGACACAACGACAACATCATCACACACAAGGTACAGGCATGGCATGTGAGCACAGCAGGCGTGTTTACCTTCCTGCCCCCTCCTCTGCTTTCCCCCTCCGCACACACACACACACACACCTGCGCATAGCTGCGTCGCTGTGGTTGAATGTGCCCACCATGACCATGGACGTGTGTGTCCACAGCTTCTCCTCCCAATCTATCGTGTGTACCCGCCCATCATCCTCCAACGATCCTCAGGCAGTCGCCCCCCTTGCACACACACACACACACACATGGCATGTGAGCTGCACAGCTACACTGCTGCACCAGGCACAGCAGCAGCAACACCAAGCACACCCAGAGCAGCAACAGCACCAACACATGCACCATGTGCCGACCAAAGCATTCATGGTGGGCTCACCTAGCTCACATGTGTGAACACTGCATGAGCACAGCGGTGGCAGCCGAATCAGGGGAGTTGCAGCTGCAGCAGCCGGCATGCGAGCCCGCTCCCATCAACATCCTGATGTGTTGACCGAGGCGTCACGGCGTGGCGGTAAGCAAAACAATGTCGCCAAAGGCACGATTGAAGAAACTTGGCAGGGGTACTGACATCAACGCTTCTCACAGTTACAAGCGCAGACACAACTACAGGGAGGTGGGCGAGCTGAGACACAGATAAAACGACAGAGTAACAGGAGTAAGGATAGGTAAGCAAACACATAAAGAGCTACACAACACACACACACGCACACGTGCAGACACACGTGCAGACAGACAGACAGACAGGCAGACACAGAGCAGCACACACACACGCGCACACACTTACACACACACACGCACACATGTAGGTAGACAGACTGACGCACGCTGATGGGCTCGTCGATGCAAAGCTGGGTCAAGCTCGCCCCTTGTGGGTTGTCATGGGCGGTGGTGCTGCCGGTGTTTGTGAAATAGCCACGGTGATGGTGTGTGCGTGCCTTGTTGCCAATGAAAACGAAAGCTGTTCATACCATGCTGCAACTTTCGATTCTCGTCAGGAATGCTGGTACGCCACAACCTTGAGAGCTGTGCGTCAGTTGCACGCAATTTGCGACTGCCGTGACATTGTCAAGTACAATGCAGTTGCATTTTGACACAGCTTATGCAACTGGCAAAACGCGGCAGGCAAAATAACGAGGTGCGGAAAACAAGCACCGTACAAGGAGCATACACGGCCAGGCAACGGAGTTTCTTTTGCAGTACATCAGGCATGCCGTGGACGACCTGTATACAAAAGAGAGTGAACGCACAGCAAGGTTAAGTGTGTTGTTGCATTGGTAGATTGGGTAGTGGTAGGGGGTGGGTGCTGGGCATGTGCTAGCCTGGGGGGTGGGTGAGTGGACTTTTGTACGGGAGACTGGTGTACGGCAGGGATGTAATTCCTTTTGCATTGCATCTAGCATGCTGTGTAGGGTGCGTGTGCAAAAGGAATCACGTGATTAGCAAGTGTAACGGTGAAACGGTGTGTGTAAGCTGAAAGTGCATGTGTGCAGTAAATGCTAGGAAATGCACCTTGTATGAGTTTCCGGCGCATATAGCGGTGCGGGACACTGGGTTGGAGTAAGCACGTAGGATCTGTTTGTAGACGATCAGAGGCGTGTGGAGGACTTGTATACAAAAGAGAGTGAACGCACAGCAAGGTTAAGTGTGTTGTTGGAGGGGTAGATTGGGTAGTGGTAGGGGGTGGGTGCTGGGCATGTGCTAGCCTGGGGGGTGGGTGAGTGGACTTTTGTACGGGAGACTGGTGTACGGCAGGGATGTAATTCCTTTTGCATTGCATCTAGCATGCTGTGTAGAGCACGTGTGCAAAAGGAATCACGTGATTAGCAAGTGTAACGGTGAAACGGTGTGTGTAAGCTGAAAGTGCATGTGTGCAGTAAATGCTAGGAAATGCACCTTGTATGAGTTTCCGGCGCATATAGCGGTGCGAGAGACAGGTTTGGAGTAAGCACGTAGGATCTGTTTGTAGACGATCAGAGGCGTGTGGAGGACTTGTATACAAAAGAGAGTGAACGCACAGCAAGGTTAAGTGTGTTGTTGGAGGGGTAGATTGGGTAGTGGTAGGGGGTGGGTGCTGGGCATGTGCTAGCCTGGGGGGTGGGTGAGTGGACTTTTGTACGGGAGACTGGTGTACGGCAGGGATGTAATTCCTTTTGCATTGCATCTAGCATGCTGTGTAGGGTGCGTGTGCAAAAGGAATCACGTGAGTAGCAAGTGTAACGGTGAAACGGTGTGTGTAAGCTGAAAGTGCATGTGTGCAGTAACTGCTGTATAATGCACCTTGTATGAGTTTCCGGCGCATATAGCGGTGCGGGACACTGGGTTGGAGTAAGCACGTAGGATCTGTT